GTGATAGCGTACCCAGCGCGGATTGGTGGGTGATAATGGACCCAGTGCGGAGCGGAGGGTGATAACAGACCCAGCGCGGATTGATGGGTGATAACGGACCCAGCGCGGATTGGTGGGTGATAATGGACCCAGTGCGGATTGGAGGGTGGTAACAGACCCAGCGCGGATTCGTGGGTGATAACGGACCCAGTGCGCATTGGTTGGTGTTAATCTACCCAGCAAGGATTGATGGGTGATAACGGACTCAGCGCGGATTGGTGGGTGATAATGGACCCAGTGCGGATTGGAGGGTGATAACAGACCCAGCGCGGATTCGTGGGTGATAACGGACCCAGCGCGCATTGGTTGGCGATAATCTACCCAGCAAGGATTGGTGGGTGATAACGGACCCAGTGCGGATTGGTGTTTTTTTTTCTATCAACAAATCTTCAGGTTAAGTTTATGATTTTCAGATCATTGGAGTTAAAGAAGTTTCACTTCAGTCGTGTGGTCATAAGCACACTCGTTTTTTTTTTTTTTAACTTCATAGTCTTACCTAAACAAACGAATCCTCAAAGATAAGGGACAATATTAAAGATCGACTTCTCGCTAACGAGTCGTCAAAAGTACCATACACTAGTAACACCTAATCCTTTCACTGTAATTGCCTTTTTATTTTGTGAGCGCCCACTAATCCGTTTCATAATTAGGAACAGCGACTTCATATTCTCACACGAATAATGGCGACATTCAGGTGGCACTCGGTAGAGATGCGCCGAAAAAAAGTCGCGAACAAAAAGGGTGAAAACACTGAATAGTGGCAGTTTTTTAGCAAGTGTGTAATCTTCAAGTGTACAACAATGGGTATAGATTTCCGTGCGAATTGGCAGGCTGTCGGCATATTGGTAGCGAGCCTCCTTTGTTGTCTACAAAGCCGCCACACTGCGCTTGTGCCCCCTAAATCTTATCCTCTCTCGACCCGAAGCAAGGTCCCGCGCACAAAGTGCAATCATGCGTAATGTTTTTCTCATACGTCATAACAAGGTATGTTACCTGTCCGATTTATGTTTGTTTTGATGGCGATAATACGTTGTCCTAGCCCCACCTGTGCTTTGAAGCAGAACGACTGGTACAACTATTTAAATTTTGATTGATATAATTGAGAAGACGTAATTCCACTTGGGTACAGTTAATGCCTTATCACTGACAGGGGTTAACAAGACTAGCGTTGACGGTGCAGCCGTTTAGAGACTTAAATTATTTTTTAACATTAGGTCACGCGGTTGTTCTGTTATCTTGTTAACGCAAAGAATGTGCTCGCACCAATAGGGTATTTCCCAAAATTTTGAAAACTGCTTATATTTAAAGACTGGGACAGACGATTTAACGGAAAAATAAATTAAATTATGTCTATTTTTTCTCCATTAAACTACTCCGTAATCACAGATCGTCCACAGACTACATATGTGTTAAAATTATTTACACAAAGTTGACGTCACACAGTAGACGTCAATGAACCGAGCTTTTTGGCGGTAAATTCAAAATCGTTCATAATAAATTCTACTTTAATTGGTCTAATAGAGAAAAAAGACATTAATTAATTTACTTTTATTGTTAAATATAAGCAGTTTTCAAAAATTCGGAAAATACCCTATTGTAATCAAACTTACGTGTTAATGGACTTTTTTGAGAGACTGTATGGGTGGAAACCATAATGGCATGGCCGCGATAATGCCATAAAACTCACGAGTTTCCAAACCGTGAAATCTCTTGAACACTAACTCAGCGAGGCAATTTCACTTATGATGTAGTTAGGTAGGCAAGATGGGTACCAGCACTCATTATCTAAGTAAACTCCGCATTAATATTCATGGAAACAATTAGGAGGTAGGTAATTCATTAACCCTACGCATTGGAATAATGATAATCTTCACAATAAACTTTGTTCCGCCTTGATTGTCCACTGACTGTGGATTATTACGACACATGTTGAAAAAGAAGCGTCACATAGCATTCCTGCTTATAAAACACCGCCGGGGTAAACATTAAGCTGTCGTTTTTACGACTTTCTATATGACTTTTTCATCATTCATACGGAATTTCTACAAACAGCGCAGGCAGTGCAAACGGAGAGACACACGCAGCCAGGCAGTTAGGTCAGAGTGTCGCTCGCGAGGCGTCAACTGCCCTGTCCAAACAAACCCGGGTATAAAGGAGTAGTACAGTTAGTTACCGCACCGCAACGTACGAACACAATGCCTTTCAGCGTATTTGTTCCAGTGACGAAATACTTATAGACTTCTTTTGTATGTCGAAACTCCCGCGGCGCATATAAAACAACCGACTGAGCTTAACTAGAAATATAGCCTCTGCAACGTTTGCCTTAAAGTTGAGTTTACGATAAACACCTTTAACTGTAACTATCTTTTTTATGCTAAGCATTACGGTGTGGAGAGTCGGCGATGGTTTTGAACTGTGTTCTCATCGGAATAGGGTTGAATGTTAAGAGCTTTTGTGCTTCAGTTTTTGTTGGGAAGTGGTTGTTTGGTAGGCGTTCCCATCGAAAGTATGTAGGTAGTGTTCAACATAGTCACGACTGACTTGTTTCAATAGTTGAAGGCTGTTCTTAGCGCAACATAAAGTATATTTTTATTAGACCTTCTATATGTACCTACACACCTCACTTTCTTATATGATTTGTCACAATCTTATAATTATTGTAGATAAAGTTTTTATTATACATATATAATTAGTTCCGCATATTTATATTTATCATTACTTTTTCTATTCATAAATGTTATTATTTTGTTATACTGTAGTAATAATAAGTACTTTGTAGTTAAATAGGTATTCGTGTAAACATATCGTTCGCTTGTATTCATTCGATATATGTATTATAGGTAATTTTATTAAATATAATGACAGAGTTGAATTTGCAACAAAAACCATTGATATTATGATTAAGGTCACCATAAAACTTCGTTACTATTAACTATATTTAACCTTACAAAAAGTCAATAGATCAGTCATGACAGCATTTTTTTATAAGCAAACTGTACCTACGATGTGATTCAAAATGTTTTCTAAAAAACTCTAAATGAGTCACCTTCAAAAACTTTAGACAAAATGTACCGAAGTACCGTGTGATAATCTAAAATTACTTAAGTATTGATCTACAATTGTACACTATAGCCACTACCATATACACACTAGCTTGCGAATATCGCTTCTATTTCTATGTATTCAAAGGCGAATACAATATCAAACTGTACTCAACAATTTAGCTACCACTGTACCACATTCCGACATGCAACCTTGCCCATCGTAAGTCACAAAATATCAAAACATAATTGGTTTCTCGAAACTCGGACCGATGACTGGTATTGCCCCAGAAAAAGTGCACTGGATAATTATGCACAACTGCAAATTAACGTTAATTTGTTCTCAATATTAATTAGCGAATGAGTGCTCCAGCTATTTGGGTTGACACGGAATCTACGAATGCTTTGTCCCGAGAAAAAGCTCATTTAATTGCCAACATTTCATGGTGGTCATGATCATGAGTAAACTGTATTCTTAATTAAGAATCGATTTAATTATAGCGCACGTGCTTTTTTAAATATTTAGTTGTTAACGATAACAAGACCTACAGTCAATTACATTTCCTTAAACAAAACGGCTATTTAAGTAAACTCTAAACTAGACGAGTGCACCCGCCATAATTCTTACATACATATAAATAAGTAGTGTCTTTAAGAAGTAACTTTACAATAACGCTAAGTGTTCTGAATGAAACTTATTAAAAGGTCTTGAATGGCTCCTTTCTAGATCAATAAATCAATAAGTAATTACCTATGTTCTTATAACTAGATTTTTATCGATAGAATACAATTGTACTAGTACATAAACTAGGCCGAGCCTGTAATATATGCACTAGTTCCTTCCTAATGACTTAAGTTAGAATACATACATTACTTATAGAAAGCGTGAGTAGCTTTGGTTTATATAAGAATTAACTTTTTCTTTTAAATTTTATTTATTTAATTCTGTGTTTATCAGGAGATACTGTATTTACTTGTATAAATATAGATTGATTCTAGATATATGTACAATACATATATCTGTTTCTTATAATGGTTTTTCTTGAATGGTTGTCTAGTAATTTGACTGCATACTGTTAAGCGGAAGACAACATTGAAAAAAAAGACAGTAATTGTTTTAGTTTCGCACTGGACTTTTCATTGTCAATTTTAAATTAACTGTCCTGTGTTGACTAAGCGTAACTTTCTTGCGAGCACTTTAAGAGGGGTAGGACATAGAGGAATTATGCTCAATTGGAAAATAGTTACCGTAAAAGAATAAAGTAAAATAAGACTAACTTTTGGTGGGGGTTCGTATTTCTGTTAGCGAGATAGAGGATAGATAAGTAATTTCTTTTAAGGCCTGTTTCAATAATCAACCACTAGTAAAAAATAAGAATAATCTGACTTGTTTTCTTAGCATCAGAGGGCCAAGTACGAATTTTGACAGCTCCGTCCAATCTTATCGCCATCGTCCAATTTTGTATGAAAAAAGTTTGTGCTTACGTCCAGTAGGGACGCTGCTAAGTTTTCATAGAAACTCTGACGATACGATACAATTACGGAGCTATCAAAATTCGTGCTTATATTTTTTTAGTATTTAGATTACAATAGGAGCTAGATTTAGATGAGGAGCTCGATGGCGCAGGTGGTTAGCGCGTTCGGCTGCGATCGTTGAAGTTAAGCAACTTTCGCAGTGGTCGGTCATTGGATGGATGACCAAAAATTTACTATCTCGAGATCCTTCGTGCTTCGGAAGGCACGTTAAGCCGTTAGTCCCGGCTGCGAACGCAGTCGTTAGTACCCACCAATCCGCACTGGGCCCGCGTGGTGGGTCATGGCCCAATCTCCCTATTCCATCCATAGGGAAGGCCTGTGCCCCAGCAGTGGGGACATTAATAGGCTGATGATGATGAGATTAGAATAACAACTGTGACTTACATGTCCTTGTGCATCCATTGTGTTGTTGGTAAGCTTCAGCTTGCTAAAGGACACCGGGTTCGCGGTCCAGTGGTGTCCAGGCGCGGGCGAATCAGGGTGCAGCATCAAGCGACGTGGTGACTGCGGTTCGGCGCCGCCCGCCGCCGCCCAAGTTCCGCCCGCCCAACGCCAGCGACGCCGCCCTACGAGTGACAACTCGAGGAGCACGCAGTACTCCTCTCGGGGGTCTAACCCAGAAAGAGAGACGCGAAGCGATGGAAACATGCGTCTGTAATAGAAGAAAGGATAGGTTTTCAACTGTACGGTTGTGCCTACAAAACAGTTGCGACATTGTTTTTAATAATGTTTTCACTTTGCCCGAAATATCTACAGATCAATATTATAAAATTTTACGAAGAGTTTATAAAATGAAAAAAGATTAAACAAATGGAGTAAAGTTTCCTAATGTAAACTAGACTAATGTAACCAACATAACTTATTTTTTATTTAACCTCACAATAGATGTATAACATAAAGAAATGTATGCTCCGGGGATAAAGTGTCTTAAAGTAACCTTGGGCAGACGTGAATACTTGCTTCATTAGGGATTCTTAACATCTTAATTTGAAACTTGAATTCTGAGCGAAATAAAGGAGTAATATTATTGTGATTTGTTATTTCCAATACACTGATTTATCTCCTCGGTGCGTAATTGACTATTTAGCAAAAAGGTGTTTTTGGAATGCCTTAGTAGAGCCACTTACTTAAATTCCATGTAATTTGCTTCACCCAGAAGTAATTAAAATAAACATCTTTGAAAATTGTAAGTTCAAAGCATTTTAACAAATTCTCTTTCGGATGTTATGATAATACAGTTTGTTCACTAAAACAAATCACAGTGTGACCCAAAGGGTACAGAAACAAAGAAGGTGATAATAAAATTATCACTCTAACAGCGCATTGTCGGTGAAATTCAAAACGAAATTGTTGTTACCCACACCAGCCGAATAAAAGTCAGGAAGCCACACAATTCGGTAGCTTTAAGGGCCAGAATTGGGTGGATCATAATTGTCACTTTTATCGTGATTATAAAAGCATGTGATGGAGTAAAAGTGTTGGTGAACGAGCGGCTTTTGGCACCCACGTCGTGGCTGCAGATAGCGTCATAAAAGAGATACATATGGCGCCGTGTTATCTCAGCGTTGACCAGCGGCTCAGACGAGTTGTAAATGCCGATCATTTTTGAATTAAAACACTTCGGTGAGAAGCCTACTGCTCTTATTAAGTGTAGGTTATTAAATTTGAATATACGGAAAGTTGGTGTTTCTTGTAATTTTAACAGAATCCGTGGCATTATTTTTAGCTTTAGACTTATTAAAGTTTTAACCAAAATGTTCTTTAAATAAAACTTTTTGTTCCTTGGGTTTCATTCATCAGTACCGATTTTTAATGAAGAAAGTACTCGGGTAGTCTATAAAGACTCAATCACGACGGTTACTGCTTTGTGGTGAAATCATCACGTACATCTAAGAGAGTAAGTACACATTAAACATAATTTCAAAGAATTAGTGTTTTCGAACATGAGCGAACAGCAACTTTATTAATTAAAATATACATAAAATACTTTGTCATTAATTATCCAGTTCAAAACATTGACCATCTGCAGGTTCAATACTTCTTGATAGACATATATAATGTCCGTAGACAGTATTTTCTGTACCAAATTGCTTAGTAAATAGAAGAAACTTAAATTTGCAAAACCTAAAAGTTTTGTCTAGTCTATTTGACTCCCTCTCGTTCATCTGTTTATTACTTTAAGGCTGCGTTATTTCATATACTTTCGGACACATTTTTGCCACTAAGGCTCGTATTACAGAATGACAACTAAGTGTTGATTTTTACTTGAGTACAGTTAGAAAGGGATGTCGCTGTGTGCTATATATACCGACATCCCTTTCTAACTATGCTCAAGACTAGATCAATCACTGAAAATCTTTCTATAATATGGACCTTAGTGTTATAAGTTGAGCAATAATTTTAAAAACACGAAATGATGGTTAATAAATAAGCTTCGAAACTGTGTAGTTAATAACTTTTTGCTCAACGTAACATTTATTTTTAACTAGGCACCGTCAAATCTTAAAATGCTAGTTAGGCTGATAGATGTGACCGGAAGTGTAGTTAATATCACGTCAATTACTTACTAAACATTTAAAATTTTGACAAATGGCTATTTTTTTCTTTATTTTTAACGACCTTCGTAGCCGAGTGGTTTCATGGTGTCGCCGACTCGAGAGGTCCCGGGTTCGAATCCCGGTGGGGGCAGATGTTTGTGTGATGAATACGAGTATTTGTACTCCAGTCATGGATGTTTAATATGTATTTCTATATAAATATGCTTATATATGTACAGCATAACTATGTATTCTATCCGTTACCCTAGCATCCCATAACACAAGCCTTTTAGTGCTTACTTTGAGGCTAGCCGAATTAGTCAAATTTATTATAAACGAAACAGAGCAGACACGTAGCAGAGTAGTGTAGTGTAGTGTAGTGGAGTCAGGTCGCCATCAGTCATAACACGGTTATCAGCGGCGCGGCGGCCCCCGGGAGCGCTAATGCAGCGCGATAGCGGCCGCATCGGCTCAATTAACAACTAACTGAATTAGCCCCATTTACAGTTTACGACGCCCGCTACCGCCTTACGTGGAACCCGGCGTAGCGACAGAAAAACCACACCCGCATTTTAATTTACTGCACTTTTAATTTATCAAACGTGAGTAGGTTTGTGACTTTGGGATGATGTGCGATCCAATTACCGCACATGTTTCCGTGTCAGCGAAATAGTTTAGTCAGTCGTGTGTACGTATCAAGTAATTTTATTGTAAGCTCGTATAGAGTCTGTGCGGAAAGAGAATGGGATTTAGATTGGAGGCCGCTGTAGTGCTTTTCTACCGTATTTGTAAAGTTTTACCCCTTTTAGACATGTTTAAATACAAAAAATCACAACAACAAACAAATCCGTATCAATACAAAACTTGGATGTCTTACAGATTGCTGGCTTGGATTGCCAAATAAAAATCTTAATGTTAGTTCCATTTTTCGCCACGCCCATTCTCTTTCCGCACAGACACCTATCAAGAAAATAAACATTCTATAATCGTCAAGGAGTTTTTATTATCGAGTTATCAAAATCTATCAAATAGGTCGTTCGGCAGCATCACGGCACCGTCCGACAGATGATAAAGAGTTCTTGACGGCTCTGAGATGGCGTTTGCCAAAGTGAAAAAGAAGGGCAAATCATGATTAATATATTAGCACATCAGCTGTGTGTCACGCAGAAAACTATCCAGCTTATTCCAAAACTTGGGCTAAAGTTAGTCTTAGTTTGAACTTAATGCCGTATCTATCTTCTTTTTAGCAAACAAAATTGAGAACATCAGTTTTAGTTCATTCGTATTTTATGTATTCTCTAATAAACTGACATATTTATGAGTAAATCAAATGTAACTAACACCATGGAACCCAGTTCTGAAATAAATGATTGAATTTAGTTCAACTAAATTGAATTTAGTCCAGGTTTAACATTAGGTACGTTTTGTAATAAGGCGATATAAGTTCCTTTGTATTTTTTCGCTTATTTTAAATTGTGAATCTAAAGATTCATTTGTGATATGCATTATAATATGTATATAAAACCAACTTATTTGCGTTGTCTTTTCAATGTTAATGATAATTTAATGTTTCAGAATGAACGTTATTTTCCCGCATTCATTTTTTTCTCAACGAATAAATTGTAACAACCCTGTCGTTAACAGATCAGAACAGCCTGGCATTTTTTCGTGTACCTTTTTTTACTTAGAAATTTCTTTAGACCTTTATTATTTGTCGGATTTCTTGATATTTTTTTAAATATTGTGAATCACGAAAAGCATTTTTTTATCATTGTAAGATTAATATCAAATGTTATAACATATTTGTGAGTTGATAAAACAAAATATGTTATAAGCGTAGACTTAAATAAAATAAGCTTAGTAAATATGCAGTATTGAATAACACTCATTTACATGCTTTAAAAAAAATCTGCTGCCTGGTCCGCGTGGATTTTTTTTCTAGTTATATTTTCTTTAGATTTAAACACTCATTTATTTAACAGCACTACAAATATGTTATTACTAACTTTCAGTTGATCACCAATATCATAGTTCCGTAATATGTCTTCGACGTACGTATCAAATAAATTGTACACGTAGTTTTTATTTACAATTACATTGGAAATCATATAAAAAACAACATTATCAACACACAGACATCAGATTCCTTGCTTTTGTTAATCTCTTCGTTATTGTACGAATGTCAACGATGATTGCTCGATAAAACTATTTATTCGACAAATGTTTGCGTCTGATTTCATTTGACAGCTGGGATAGCAAACTCCGGAGAAAAGTATAGAACGTCCTGTCTGTCACCAATATCCTTTCCATCTACGTTGTGTGTTTACAAATCGTCAAAGTAAAGTAGGCAAACACGGCAGGCAAAGGGGATCTCGTACACGTCCAATGTGTATTCTTAATACATGCTGTGACATGGGTTTTTGTTGACTGTACATTGACAAATCCGTCCACTCGGCTACTGTTCGGCGAGATGGGGCTTATCACGCCGCGTCCCACTTATCGGCGCGTTTGAGTGCGCGCACGCCGACAAAGAGTAGGTGACGATACAACCGCAAAATATATGCGAGAGCCACCGCGATCGAAATCCTTATCTTAATGACGCTCTTTACTACTAGAATTTTAAATATCGAAAACTGGTAATGAACATTCTGATTTATAAACCTCGTTTGTTTATTTTATAAGCGCAAGCGTAACTGGGTGAGATCGTAAAAACTGGTCGTTGTAAAACCCTCGAGACTAGTAAGCCGACACACAATGGGACCACCAGAATGGAGCCGAATAAACTTTAGAGTGGGTCGTAAATCGGTGACGGCTCGCCAATAGCTGGACGGGGGCGCTAAACGCTCATACCTACACCGCTCGCACCGCCACATCCGTCCTCGCATCCGCACTCGAACTTTTGAAGGTTCCAAAGTTTTCGCGATCACCTATCGACTCTGTTTTTTGCTCGGGTCGCGCGGGAACTCCGGAAGTCACGATTGATCGCGAATCGAATACATGTTTTTGAAGTTGTTCGGTTTAAATACATACATACATTTGTCACAAACACAACATGTTTATTTTTGTACATTTACCTTTACGATAGACGCAGTTCCCACGCTCGGATCTACGCTAA